GACCCTGTTCCCCGAAGACACTCCCACCTTCTCTGGCCTCCTCATCCCCGGTCTCCAAGCAGCCTTGTCTCCTATTGTCACCCCAGAAGTGATCTTTTTAATGCGTTTCCTTACAAACCTTTCCTCCTGCCTGACTCAGCCTTGGACTTGTCTTTTGCTCATTTTTGTTCCCCAAAGGGTTCAGTGGCCAGTCCAGAAGATGGGTATGGCGACAACGTGCCTTTAGCACAGCACCATGTATGCTGCAAGAAGCATCAGCATAGGGGGCCCCTGCAGATATGGGGGCATCCAGCTCAGATCATAATTGGGGGGTGAACAGGAAAGAGGTGAGAAAAGGCTTCCTGGAGGAGGTGATAGTTTAGCTTGGTTGAGAAGATGAGTAGAAGCTAGTCAGTTTAAGGGAATATATACCAGAACCCAGAGGTAAGGGGGAACACGGCGCATCAGAAAACTTCAAGGGGATCAAGCTGGAGTACGGAGGGAGGTACGGAGGGGTGAAGGCGAAGGCTGGAGATGTCTTGCAGGGACTGGGATGCGGTGGGAGGATTTGGCGTTCCCTGGGCTGGTGCTGAAGGGACATTATGCATAGACTTCATAGACCATGACCTTGCCCGCTAGGACCAGGACGGGCCAGGCTCATCCCAGAACTGCACATGAGCAGCCCCTTCCCCTTCAGGTGCTCAGAGTTCAGTGCTCCCTTCCTCCTTCTCCCAAAGTGTGTGTGGGTGGGTGAGGAGGTGTGGAAGGACTTAAAGTCCTCCTGACTCATTCTTTAATGGAGGCAGGTAGAAGAAGCAAGCACCAGTCCCAAGGGCAGGGCAAGGGAAGCCTTCTGTCTCCATGCAGAAAACAAGGGGTGGGTTGTCTGCAGGGAATTTACTAATAATAACAACACGGGCAAAAGGTCAGGTTGCTTGCTATGATCACCATACAGTGGCGATTTTAAATAAGTTCAGTGTTCAAATATTGCTCTCCACAGAAATCCTGTGTTGGTCTAGATTCTAAACAATTGCTGTGATTACACTGGGCTTAAATAATATGTGGAAGCTTCAAGTTGATGCATTTGTATTGCTTATCCTTTAATAAGCACCATATTCTATGTGGAAGCTAGTTGGGGGAATTCCCAGTCGTACAGTGTGTTCCATGGTAGGCAGGTCTATGCAAACCTACCCTAAAGTTCAAAGAAGCTGGGAGAGAGACCAAAGAAAGAGTCTGACATATCCAGTGTCTTAGAGAGAAACACTTAATAGGGACTTGCAGACAGAAGCCATGTCCATATTTTTGGTGGCAATGAGACGAGAGGGTGGATCCCCATTCATTACTCCCAAGGTCCAGGGCTTTATATACCATGGAAAAGTGGTGATTCAGAACAGATGGGTAGGACAATTGAAGTATGACAACATCAAGGTCGTCTGAACTAAGGGCAGAACTTTTGGTAAGTACCTGTTCTTACACAAGGAACAATAGATACACCTTCCTGGAGGCCAAGTGCAGTGACTCCTGCCTATAATCTAAGCACTTTGGGAGGCCGAGGTGGGAGGATTGCCTGAGGCCAGGAGTTGCACACCACACACAGCTAATTTTTTTTTAAATAATATTTTTGTAGAAACGAGCTCTCCCTATGTTGCCCAGGCTGGTCTCGAATTCCTGGCCTCAAGTAATTCTCCTGCCTTGGCCTCCCAAAGTTCTGGGATTACAGGCATGAGCCACAGCACCTGGCTAAGACATTATTACTTACTTCATTTCATGAGTTTTACTAAAGATGATTTTGTTGTGTTGAGGAGGGAGTATCCAAAAATAACCTGTTCCTCATGTCAGGTACTCCAGATCGCCATTGGGCCACACCTAACCTCAAGGAAATCTCTCCAATGAGGTCCCAGTGGGAGTGCTGAAAAGCCCATGGGGGAGCACAGGGGCTGGGACCCTTGCCTACAACCTTCTTCTTATCCCTGCATGTGCTTGACCCCAACCGCAGAAAAAGCAGTCATCAAAAGAGACCACAGTGAGACATGGCAAGCACCCTTCATGTCACCTGCCCCCTAGCACAGGCCACAGCTGGAGAGGGAGCAGGTGTAGGCTGTGGTCCCTTGGAGGGGCTCCATCACTCCACCTGTCCTTTCACTCAGTCTCCAGTGTCCTCCGTCCAGCCGGCAGCTGGCACGCCCACTCTGCCATGAGGAGGAGGGCTCCAAGGGCCTAGGGCTCGACAACCTTAGCCTTAGAAGCCTCCCTTCCAGTTGCTCAGCCCTAAAGGATCTGCAAAACCCTTGCGCTCACTGTCCCCACCCTTCAAGCTAATGGCAATTGTTGCCTTTGAGGGACAACCTCAAGTGAGCTCAATAAAGGAAGCAATAAAAGGGCAGAACAAGGCTTATTCAACATCGTTGAGCACCTGCTGTGTGCCACACATTGTGGTAGCATTTTAAGAGTACCTAACAACTCTATGAGGTAGACTGGGAATGCCCTCCATTGGACAGTGAGGAGATGGGCTCAGAGGCTGTGGAGCCTCTTCTAGTGAATGCTGTTGCTGGGCTTAGGACCCAGGTCAGCTCTTAGCCACCTCTCTGTAATGCTCTCAAAGAGCTCCTGCTAGAACTCTAAGTGCCATGGCTTAGAGATCTACCTTATGGAGTGGGTCAGAGGTGGCTTCTTGGAGGGAGCCAGGAGAAAGGGGGAGCTTCCTGTAGGATCAGGCTGCCTGGAAGCAGACAAAAGGGTGGGGTTTGTACGTGGAGGGGCAAGTGGTTGGAGTTTAGGACAGATCCTGTGGGAGGGTGGCAGAAAGTTGGCAGTAGGGACATCCAGAGACCAAGACAGCCAGGTGGCAGACTCTCATCACCACCCCCAGAAATCAATAGGCCAAACCGCAAAGAGATCAGTCAGCATGGCAGAGCTGGGGTTGGCGTCCGGGTTTCTGTCTTGGGCTTGGCCCAATCACCCACAACAGCCCACAGCTGTGGTAACACCCTCGCACAGCTCACAATTGCTAAAGAATTATAGTCCCCTCTGGGGAGAGAGAAGAGGTCACTCTGAGTGCCGAGGACCCTTGGAGGAGGGTAACCTGAGTGCCGAGGACCCTTGGAGGAGGGCAACCTGGGTGACACCCCCCACCCTGGCTCCAACCTGGAGGCACTGGCTTCCTGAGGGCAGGGAGGTGACACAGAGATGAGGAACACCCTTACATTTATAAAAACCTCTCTCTTCCTGTCCCTATCTCACAGGCATGGAAACTGAGGTCTAGGAAGTGATATGATTTATCCAAAGTCACGCAGCAGGTCAGCAACAAGGAACCCTGTGCACTTTTGGCTCCGACACAGTGACCTCCCACTCAAGTCCCCCTGTTGCAGGAGAGGGGCCCCTGCTGAAGATAAGAAGATAAGATCAGGAGGGCCCAGGCGGTCAACTGGAGCTTGTGAAAGGGGTTGCCGAAGTGAAGTGGCTGTCTCAAGAGCAACTGTCAGGCCAGTGGCATTGCCAAGGGAGGAGGGAGCTGTGGAGGGCATTGGGCAGGGTTCAGGCAGGGCATAGGGGAAGGAGACAGGACAACTGAGTGGGCTGGAGGAAGGGCAGAGTCTACACTCAGGAAGGAATGGATGTGTCCACTTGAAGCAGGGGCCAGGACAGGCAGCTGCTGCCACGCGGTGGTGATTCTTGAGCTATGTGGGAGGCCAGGAGAGAGTCAAGGCACAGGAAGAGCTCAACTCATCCAGTGGCAGGAACTGCAGGGGGAGGCATGGAGGTGTGAGAGGGTGGGTCCTGGGGAGGCTGTCTGGAGTACGTTCTAGACTTGAGATGTGAAAATGGGGGCTCACCCATGGTTGCACAGAGACAGGGCCTGACCCCAAACCAGGTCTGTCTGAGCCCACTGCAGCACACTGCCTCTTAAAGAAGCCACCTCTAGTGAAGCCTGAGAGGAGCTCAGAATGTAAACCTACTGCCCGGAGCAGACCAGCTGCTGAAATGCACTGAAGAAACACCTAGAGCAGCCTCAGGTCCATGGTGGACTCCACTCTTCTGAGACCCGCTGCCCAGCAGCTAGCTCTGCACACCCACTGTGTCCCCCACGTGGCCCCAAGAGATACCTCACTGCCAGGCCCTGCCTCAACCACAACCTCACACTCTTCCTAGCACTTTGGGGAGAGCTGGCAGGGTGAGCGGGCAAGGGGAGGGGCCGAATCAATGACCAAACATCATCCGTTCTCTCAACAAACACTGAGCACCTACTAAATGCCAGGCCTTGTGCTGGGTATGGAGAATACAGCCGTAAGGCAGAGCCAGTTTCTGTCCTGCTGGGGGAGGGGAGGTGCCTTTCCAGTCATCTGGCCCAACTCCCATCATTTTTAGGAATGTGAACTTTTTTTTTTTTTTGAGACAGGACCTTGCTCTGTCACCCAGGATGAAGTGCAATGGAGTGATCATAGCTCGCTGTAGCCTCGAACACCTGAGCTCAAGCAATCCTCTTGCCTCAAACTCCCAAGAAGCTGGGACTACAGGATTATACCACATGGCCTGGCTTAGGAATGTGAAAACTGAGTCTTGGAGAGAAATGACTTGCCCAAGGCCATGCAGTCAGTTGATGGCAGGGCCCGCCCAGCCCTCTTCTGAGGCACACTGCTCCTCAGTCAGCCTACAATACCCTTTGAGTGACACCTGTGTCCCAGATGCTGCTCTGGACCCTGGGAGAAGCACCTCAGTGGATTCAGTATTAGAGGATGGGGAAGGTGTGAGAGGGTAGGAGGAAAGAACCTCCCCTGGCTGGAAGAGTGGGGTGGTGTTTAGTCTGAAAACCAGAGGGTGGTTCCAGAACTCCACCCAAGAGGCTGGGCTCCTGGGGCCCAGAGTGCCCTCCCCAACCCCAGGATGGGCTATAAAACTCCCTGCTCGGCTGCTTCCAGAAAAGAGCAGGAGGAGGTGAGAGGACGGCTGGGAGTCCTAAGGCGAGAGGGTGCAGGGACCCTCCCGTGCAGGCTGCAGGAGTTGCTTACTTCCCAGCTGGGGAAGTGTCTGCAGAGATGCAGCAGCTCCTGGCAGGGGTTCTTCTCATGCTCAGTCTCGCCCAGCTCTGTGAGGGCACTGCCCCAGGTAATGCCCCTTAGACAGCCAAGGAGGAGGGCAACAGAGGAGGCACTTGGGTGGGGGGGGGGTCTTGTGGCTCCCCCAGACCCTGAGTCCCCATCCCTTTGAACAGCTTTCCCTGGGGCCTTAGAGACCGCCATCCTGCGGGACTGTATAGCAGAGGCCAAGTTGCTGGTGGATACTGCCTACAATAAGACCCAGAAGAGGTGGGCCTGGGTCTGGGGGCTGCATGGGCCTCAGAGGGTCGCTGAGGGGGATGGGCTTTAGCCAAGGTCATCTCACCCAACACCCACCCCTGGGGCCCCACGGGACCTTCACGGTTGGTAGAGCCTCCCTTCCATGCACCCCTCTGCCGGCTGACCCTGTCCTGATGGTCCACCTAGCTGGGGCCCTGCTGGTGGGTTCGCACCCTCTCCAGCCCTCACCCCTCTTCTCCTGAGCAGCATCAAGCAACGCCTTCGCAGTGGCTCAGCCAGCCCCATGGACCTCCTGTCCTTCTTCAAACAACCAATAGCGACCACCAGGACGGTTGTCCAGGCTGCGGATTACATGCACGTGGCCTTGGGGCTGCTGGAACAGAAGTTACAACCCCAGGCGTCCAGACCTTTCAATGTCACTGGTACTCTGCCCGGGCCTGGGAGTGGAAGGAAGCCAGGAGGGGGAGGTGGAGTGCATAGGCTTGGGTGTGGGAGGAGAGAGGGTAAAGGGATGGGACGTAGGGTTGGCCGGCTCAGGCCTGCCCCCCTCCCTCCCCTAGATGTGCTAATGGAACCCCAGCTGCAGCTGCTGTCTCAGGCCAGCGGCTGTGCCCTACAGGACCAGACTGAGAAGTGCAGTGACAAATATCGCACCATCACTGGGCGATGCAACAACAAGTGAGTGCTGGAGGCTGCGCCAGGCCTGGTGACTCCACCCTCCCTCACCTGTTCCCTTCCCCCACGCTGAACCATCTCCAGGTTCTGGGCCTGCTAACCGTGACCCATCCTCTGCTACAGAAGGATACCCTGGCTGGGGGCTTCCAACAAGGCCCTGGCCCGCTGGCTGCCAGCCATCTATGAGGACGGGCTGTCACTCCCCTTCGGCTGGACCCCTGGCAGGAGGCACAATGGCTTCCTCCTCCCTCTTGTGAGTCGGGGCTGGATGTGTGGAGGCTGCTTGATCGCTTGTAAATGTGGGGAATAAAACACAGCCCAGAGTCGGCCAGGCAGGGCTCAAATCCAGGCTCTAACACTAACAAGCTGGGTGACTCTGGGTTAATCATGCAGCTTTCTGAGGCTTAGCATTCTCATCTGTGATGGCGGTAAAACCCACCTCACAGAGCTGGGGTGAATATCAAATAAAGCCCCTGGTATAAATAGATCTATAGTATGTGGCCTGTTAATGCCAGTCGTCACAGTATTGGGTTGTTGCTTTTTCTGAGAGAATTCGTGTCAAAGTATCTTGCTAAATATAAAGAGCTATACACTTTAATCTGGCCATAGCTATCGATCTATGCTATTTAACATTTATCAATTCATCAATTTTCCATTGATACATCGATATAACAATCTATCACATATCCATCCATCAACAAGTATTAATTAATTTTTCTTCTGTTGATGCTTCCGCCCATCTATCCGGTTCTCTCTCTCTTATATTATCCATCACCTCACATGGCCTAGGAATCAGTTCTATCATCTGGTTATCTATCAGTCTATAAATTAATCTATGGATTTGATCTATTTATCCCTTTGGAAGCCGGGTGAGGTCTGAGCCAGTCAACCTGACCCCTCTCCTTTTTACTGCTGGGATCCGCGGGGTCTGAGCAGAGACATTCTTCTAGGAATGACAGCATCCACAGGAAGTGGCCACATCTCCTGGGGCAAAGGAGGAAGGCTGCGGGAGGGCAGAAGTGGAGGAGAGGCTGTTAACTCCAGCAGGGGGAGCTGCTGCCTCCGAGTCCTGGGTTGACTCCAACACCTTGCAGGGTCAGGGAGCCCACACCCCATGCTGACGGCATTTCCCCACCAGGTCCGGGCTGTCTCCAACCAGATCGTGCGCTTCCCCTCTGAGAAGCTGGCCTCCGACCGAGGCCGGGCCCTCATGTTCATGCAGTGGGGCCAGTTCATCGACCATGACCTGGACTTCACTCCGGAGTCCCCCGCCAGAGTGGCCTTCACTGTGGGCGTCGACTGTCAGAAGACCTGTGCCCAGCTGCCCCCCTGCTTCCCCATCAAGGTACCTTCTGCCGACCCCCAGGCCTCAGTGCAGCCTCTGCCCTAGACTGAGGGCTGGGGTGGGGACCTGGAAGACTGAAGCATTGTCCTTAAGGAGCTGTCTATGGAGCTGAGGCAGAAGACAGAGACACCAGAAAGAGCCCAGCATAGACTCCCCTGCTGCATGTATGTGGGCGGGGGGCAGGGACAATCTGCCAGGAGGCTCAGTTCAGGCTTCATGGAAGAGGAAGCACTCGAGACAGGCCTTGACCCGTGGGTCTGGCTCCAACAGGGGAAGCTTTTTGGAAATCTTTAAGGGTCTCAGCTCTTGCTCTCTCTCCTGCCCAGGGTGGGCCAAGGGCCCTGAAGCTCTCGCCAACTCCTGGGCACAGGCTGTGAGCAGGGTCTTGCCCTTCAGGCTGGAAGGCAAGGACGGTGTGGGGCACTAGGGAAGAAAAGATGGAATCCAAGGAGTAGAGTCTCTGCTGGGCATACGGGGGGCAAACACACACACACATGCACTCTCACCCCTATTAGGGCCACATTCATGAGGGATGACATGGGAGAGTCCCTGGCTGGTCCCTTCCTGTTGCAACCTTATCCATTCCGCAAGCCCTAGCTCAGGGTGCCTCCTCTGGGGAGCCTTCTCAGATCTTCCTATTAAACCTTTAGCACTTGGCTTTTATATCAAGCAGAGCCAATGCCACTTAAATGTAGAGCTACTTAACTCTATATGTGCTTGCCTGTTTTCCCTAAACTGCCAGCTTCTTGCAAACTTTAATGTTTTGGTTTTGTTTTCTTTTTTAACATTCATAGTTTCCAAAGCACCCAGCAAAAAGAGATTTAGAAAAAGGTCTGTAGAGGTCAGGCATGGTGGCTCATGCCTGTAATACCAGCCCTTTGAGAGGCTGAGGCAAGAAGATGGCTTGAGGCCAGGAGTTCAAGACTAGCTTGGGCAACATAGTGAGACCACATCTCAAAAAATAAAAAAACTAGCCGAGTGGAGTGGCATGCTCCTATAGTCTCAGCTACTAGGGAGGCTGAGGCAGGAAGATCACTCGAGCCTAGGAGTTTGAACCTCTCACTAACGGAATTAAAGGAGCACAGGGCTAAATGTCAGGAGATGTGAGTTCTAACCCCACCTCTTCTGCTAACTAATTGTCACTTTCCCTCTCTGAGGCTCAGTTTCCTCATCTGTAAAACGAGGATCTAGACTGTTTCCAAAGCTTCATTCCTTTCTAACCTTTCATGACTCTATGATATAAAGTGCTAAGGACACTCAGACTGAAGGCGTAAGCAGCGTAAGTCTGGGTAAGTCAAGGAGGGCTTCCTGGAGGAGGAGTGTTTTAAGCAAGGTTTTGAGGGAGGTGGGGAATGACCCAGAGGAGGGGCCTCAGTGTCACTGACTCCTTTTCCACCCCAGATCCCGCCCAATGACCCCCGCATCAGGAACCAACAAGACTGCATCCCCTTCTTCCGCTCGGCACCAGCATGCCCCCAAAACAGGAACAAAGTCCGCGACCAGATCAATGCGCTCACCTCCTTCGTGGACGCCAGCATGGTGTATGGCAGTGAGGTCTCCCTCGCCCTGCGGCTCCGCAACCAGACCAACCCACTGGGGCTGCTGGCCGTCAACCAGCGCTTCCATGACAATGGCCGGGCCCTGCTGCCCTTTGACAACTTGCACGATGACCCTTGTCTCCTCACCAACCGCGCGGCACGCATCCCCTGCTTCCTGGCAGGTCAGGCTGGGGAAGGGTGGCGTCTTCCCCCGGAAGCAGCCATCCCTGGGATCTGGGCTGGGAAAGCCATGGGGGCGTGTGAGGGGACATGGCTTGGGACCTCAGGACTAGGCACACCATAGCCATAGATCTGTGCAGAATCCGAGCTGAAGGGATCCCTTGCAGACCCCCTCGTGTGGCCAAGATCGCTGCCTGCCTAGCTCCAGGGAGAAGGGACTCACCCCGAGGTGCTCTTTGCCCCACCCCCAAGCAGCTCTGTCTGTTAGGAAAGTTCCCTTATTTTGACCAGCTGTGTCCCTTGGTCATGTCTTTAGAATTCCAGAGAAGAGGCTGTCTCGCTTCCATACAGCAGTAGCCCCTGTGATTACCTAAAAGTAGCTGTTACATCTATCTAAATCTTTTTCTTCTCTGGTCTAAATTCCCTTAGTCCCTCCCTCCACCCAACTACTGCTAGACACTGCTGTCTGGCACCTTCTGGGTGCATCCTTTGAACTCTCCTGGGGGTCTTTGCCCTGTATGGGGCTCTCATGTTCTTGGTAGCCATTTCTTGTATTTAAGACATTTAAATGTGCCATCTCTAGATCTTACAGCAAGGAAGGAACGATTACTACCCTCGCTTGGGGAAGATGGAAGATGTGCTCATGAGCACAGAGCTGCAGTGAGGGGTCTGCTTTGGGACCTCAAGTCAGTGTCGTTCCCAGGACTTGGCTCTGTCTGCTCCCTCCCACTGCCTCCTCACAGGGAACAGGCTCCAGCCCCCATCCTGAGGACCAGGGAAAGCAATGTGTATCCTCCTGAGAGGTCTACTGAGGCGCAGCCTAAGACCCTGTGCAGAAGGGCTGAGCGAGAGCACGTGACTGGATTTCCTTTCCTTTCCTGCCTGTAGGAGAAGGGCTGGGGGCAGGAACAGGCTCTTCCCTGCGCTCTCTCTTTCTCATTTCCTCTGGCTCCCATGGGACAGCAGCATGAAACCAAGTCCACAGAGGGAGAAAAAGTACAGCCCTTAGTAGAGAACACTCAGGCGGGTGCAGTTCATGGTGCAGGTGGGCTCGCAGTCTCCAAGTCAAGGTGCCTGTGGTCATCCAAGTCCCTCACCAGAGCTGCTCCGGGCTGTGGATCTGGTCATCTTATAGAGGAGAATCTTTAGGCGAAGAGTTCCCTGCCAGAGACCAGCAGCTGCCCTCTCCCACTTGGCCTGACCCTCTCCAGCCACGGAGGGACCCAAGGCCCACACAGTCCTCCCCCTCCAGCCTGTTGTGTTGAGGGAGGATGGCAGTAAGTGAGGAGACTCACAGCACAGCAGAGGGAAGGGAGGGCCAGGAGCTCAGCCTGCTCACATCTCCAGTTCCCAGACCTCTGTCTGCCCTGGCAGAAGGACATTTCTCTGGGAAAGGCTGTGGCAACTCTCAACTTGGGGTTTTCAAGGTGACAGCCGATCAACTGAAACCCCCAAGCTGGCAGCCCTGCACACCCTCTTTATGCGAGAGCACAACAGGCTGGCCTCTGAGCTAAGACGCCTGAATCCTCGGTGGAGTGGAGACAAGCTGTACAATGAGGCTCGGAAGATCGTGGGGGCCATGGTCCAGGTGGGGAGCTCTGCGTCCCAGCTTCCTGCAGACAACACCCTGGCAGAAGCAATCCTTAACCCATCCTTGCTTAACACATCCTCGGGGATGTGCCTGAGGCTGACTGGGTCTGGGTGACAGGGGATATGCCTGGGACCTGGACTCTACCCTTGATTCTGCCACTAATTCACTGTGTGACCCTGTGCACCTCACTCAATCTCTGTGGGCTTGGGTATCTCCATCCACCAAGGGGAGATTAACGTTCCCACATTTGCCATGATGACATTAAAGAGCTAATGACTGAGCAGTGCTTGGAAAAGGAAGGGGTGTGGGAGGGGCAGCCACTGTAGTAATGTCCCTCCTTTGTCTTCCAGATCATCACCTACCGAGACTTTCTGCCCCTGGTCCTGGGCAGGGCCCGGGCCAGGAGAACCCTGGGGCCCTATCGAGGATACTGCTCCAATGTGGACCCGCGTGTGGCCAATGTCTTCACCCTGGCCTTCCGCTTCGGCCACACCATGCTCCAGCCCTTCATGTTTCGCTTGGACAGCCAGTACCGGGCCTCGGCACCCAACTCACACGTCCCACTTAGCTCTGTTTTCTTTGCCAGCTGGCGAATTGTGCACGAAGGTGACCTGGTTTCCCAGGGGCAAATGGGAGTGAGGGTGGAAAGGGCCAAGATTCCTGCCAAGAGGCCAAGAGGTTGCTGAGGTCACTGCTAACGTCTTCCCAGGACGGTGGAAATAAGGCAGGTGCCAGCAAGACCCTCAGTCAGTCTCCCATGCCCTGCAGAAGAGAGGATGTCTAAAAGGGGGGGAGACTGATGTCAGCTTGGCGAGGAGCTTGCCTTCCACTCCTTCTTTAAGAAGTAGGGTGACCCCATTCCCTCCCAACTCCAGCTCCTTCATGCTCCCCCAGGCCCCTGTTTCCTGACAAACATGGTAGAACACATGTGACTGGTTTGTCTAGCCTGGGTTAGCTTGCTTCCCAGAAGCTGATCTAATCTGTGCTGCTCACATTCCCCACCACCAGGTGGCATCGACCCCATCCTCCGAGGCCTCATGGCCACCCCTGCCAAGCTGAACCGGCAAGATTCCATGCTAGTGGATGAGCTCCGGGACCGGCTGTTCCAGCAGGTGAGGAGGATCGGACTGGACCTAGCGGCTCTCAACATGCAACGCAGCCGGGACCATGGCCTTCCAGGTGAGGGGGATGCCAGCCTCTCCTCCCAGCTTTGCCAAGCTGGGGCTGCTCAGGGGCTTCGGAGAGGACTCTTGGTGCCTCCTCTCTGACTGGGATTGGCTGCCGGATGTGCGGGGTGGGGGGGCCGGAAATACAAGGTCGAGGTTGAGGCGGCAAAGCGCCCCTGGGAACGTGTTTGCCATCCTGCCATGCCTCCATGCTCTGCAGGGGCTCCCACTTTAAGTTCACCATAGGACCAGGACTGGGGCCTGGGAGCTGAAAGAAAGAGCAGGACTTTCCAAGTAGAGAAAAGCAGGAGACTCAAAAGGCGACTTACAAGGAGAAAGGCCAAGATTCCAAGGCTACAGAAACATTCTCTGCTCTAAGCGGAGAAAAGCAAAGGGCCTTAGAGGCCGGGAACATGTGGAATAAACTAAGGCCGTATCAGCTGTTCGGTGATGGCACAAATGACTTTGCTCCAAGAAGGCAGAACATATAGGCACTTGGCTGGGCACTTTCATGTATATTAACTTATTTTGTCCTCTCAGTGACCTTCAGAAGCAGCTCTCACAGTCATTTTATAGTTGAGGAAATAAGCTCAGAGACAGCTAGTAATTTGTCCAAGGTCACATAAAGCAGGAAATAGTAAAATCTGAATTAAAATGACAATTTCTCCTTTCTTCCCATTCGGCCTTTTTCAGCCCCATTTAGGGAAAGGCTTTGACCCCGGCCTTGCTCCTCTCCTTCTCACCTCCCACTTCCCTTCCCTGTCTCGTTAGAAACTGAAGCCCTGTCTGCCTCAGCTGGTCCTTGCCATGCATGAAGCAGTGAGAGACTTCCTACTGCCCACCCCACTTAACATGGCGCCTGGCAGCCCACAGCAGGCGCTCCTGAAATCTGAGCTGCTTTCCTTCCTGAAATGTGGGCCCTCCCGACAGCTAAGGAGCTGCAGGCGCCCCCTGCTGGAGAACTATAATAGCTAGGCACCCCAAGTTTTCACACCAAGCACCCCAAGCTCCCCCAATACCTGTCCCCTCTATAGTGTCCCAGAAACATTATCCTGATACTAGCTCTCCTGTAATCCCTTCCAAAGTCCAATGCCAAATTTGGATTGTATGATCTGGCTTGAACTCCACTTAATAGTGAAATGACTTTGGAAACGTTACGGTCGCTCAATCTCAGCAAATATTCCTGATATAATCAACATACCATAAAAGTAGCTCACAAAGCTGTTGTGAGGTCTTTAGAGCGATTCACCCAATAGTGCTTAGTACAACACTGTGTGGTTTCCCTTTGTTTTGCTGGGGGATGGTGTTTATGAGGGTAGGTCAATGGACAATACTGGGCTGATGTATCTTCAGATGCTGGCAAAGCTATTTCCTACCTTGACTGTCCACATCAAATTACATGGCTTGGCCTTGTGTGGGATCCTGATGGCTGACACGTCAGTATGGCTGGGTTTTGGAAGTTTCTAAAAACTTTTTTAAAACAGCTTTACTGAGATATATCATAATTTACCCATATGAAGGACACAATTCAGTGATTTTGGTGTAGAGTTGTACAGTTATCACCATGATCTAATATCAACATTTTCATCACCCTCAAAAGAAATCTTGTGATAAGTCATTCTCCATCCCCACTCCAGTCTCTGGTAACCACTAATATACTTTCCGTCTCTTTATGGGCCAATCCTGGATCACTCATATAAATGGAGTCATACAGTGTGTGGTCCTTTTCTGAGTAGATGAACTTTATCCATCCTCTTCATTTGTTGGTTTCATTTGCTCATTAATTCATTCTACAAACACTATTGAGGGTCTTTTTTTTTTTTTTTTTTTGAGTCAGAGTCTCACTCTGTCACCCAGGCTGGAGTGCAGTGGCATGATCATGGCCACCCCAGCATCAACCTGCTGGGCTCAGGCGATCTTTTCACCTCAGTCTTACAAGTAGCCAGTACTACAGACACACACTACCACGCCTGGCTAATTTTTTGATTTATTGTAGTGATGAGGTCTCACCAAGTTGCCCAAGCTGTTCTCTAACCTGTGGGGTCAGGCAATCCTCCCCGGCATTGAGAGCCTTTTATGTTCTGAGTACTGTCTTACTTGTGCCTAATTAATACACATGGACCCAATTATATTATTAAATATCAAATGTGTGGTTATGAGTTTTGGGTTACAACAGCTTTTTACATTAGGATGCACTTGGTCTGATGTACACCAAGCATGGTTGTCCACTCATTTTCAACTAGAGAACAGCAGTCTGGTCTTTGGAAGGTTTAGGGACTCCTCTGCCAGCAAGAATCCTCTTGTTCTGCCCAGTATTGACTGGCTGCAGCTTTCTCTCAGAGGACTTCAGGAGAGAAGCAGAAGCTAACGGGAGGTCAACAAGACTGGAGCTGCTTCTCCGGTCTCCCCACAGGGTACAATGCTTGGAGGCGCTTCTGTGGACTCTCCCAACCCCGGAATTTGGCACAGCTTAGCAAGGTGCTGAGAAACCAGGATTTGGCAAGAAAATTCCTGAATCTCTATGGGACACCTGACAACATTGACATCTGGATTGGGGCCATCGCAGAACCCCTTCTGCCAGGGGCCCGAGTGGGGCCTCTTCTGGCTTGTCTTTTTGAGAACCAGTTTAGAAGAGCCCGAGATGGAGACAGGTAGGTGACCACCCTAAAAGACATCAGCACCAGAGGCAGAGCAGCACTGTAGCATTTCAAGATTAAACAGTGAGGAAGAGTACTCTTCTTCATTTCTTCCAGGTTTACAGGATCTGAGACTAGGAGGCTCCCCCCTGGAAAGCTGGGTCAGAGGGAGACACTGACCCAGGCAAGGCTGACATTACCTAAAAGATAAGCTGTGTCAGTCTCACTGTTCCAGGCTAGTGGATCCCAGAAAACATGGGTGGAAAAGGCTAAATCTGATTTCCCTCCAATAAGCTTGTGATTTAAGACCTGACTCATTATTTGGATTTGGCATTTACCTGGATTCAAATCCATCCCTAGCCACTTAAATTACTGTGCACTTAATACTGGGCAATTGACTTAACTGCTGAACCTGCTTCTTCATTTAGAAAATGATGATAATCTGTATCTTGCAGAAATTTTGTGAAAACAGAATGACATTGCGTATGTAAAGTACCTGGCACACACAGGCACTCATTATAAGGTCATTCCTCCCCAACCTTCACTCACATCTCTTGACTCTGGTAGGTTCTGGTGGCAGAAACGGGGTGTTTTCACTAAAAGACAGCGTGAGGCCCTGAGCCAGATTTCCTTGTCTCGAGTTGTGTGTGACAATACCGGTATTACCACCGTTTCGAGGGACATCTTCAGGGCCAACATCTATCCCCGGGGCTTTGTGAGCTGCAGCCGGATCCCCAGGTTGAATCTGTCAGCCTGGCGAGGGACATGAGGCTTCTGCAGGTAAGGGGAGGCCCCCTCCAGCAGTTCTGGGCTGGGTCGGCCTGGATGGCATGACTGGGTCCTCTTAGGCCTCTAAGCAGGGACAACAGAGCTTGTCCCTAGGGACAGTGTACTCTTTCCTAGTGGTCCCCCAGTGTGCTAGCTTCTGGGCTGACAGTCAGTCCCAGGGCTTAGGGCCTTGGGGGACAATTAGGAAGTGTCCCGTTATCCTTAGCTCGGTCACTAATATCCTAAAATGGTTCAATTTCTGGGTATCCAGCAAATCCTTCACTTACCCAGTTCTGCTGTTTCCACAGGAGTCTAGCCCAAGTCTCCAGTCCTTGGGAACAAGGGAAAGGGCAGACCACGGACCACTAGGCTGCCTTCTCCCCTTGGGGCAACTGTTTTCTGCTGATGCTTTGCTGGATACATCTCAGAGTTAGGTTCCTTGGCTAGGAGATAGCTGAGACTCCTGGCAGCAATGGACCTACCTGCCTTGGGAGCTTCTTGGGTATCAGGCTATGAATCAGCACCACATGCAAGGACGTGTGACCATGCAGCCTTGAGGCCAGGCAAGACGAGTCACCTAAAGAGCTTCCGGCCACTTTCTTCTGTTTCCCAGCTCTCCCTCTCCTCCCCACACCATGACTGGGAGACCACATAGTCCCACCCCC